GCTATAGTCGTTGTCTTAATTCCCAGCTTTTATAACGTGGACTTGGAGTGAGATTTAAGGATGAAGAAAGTTGGTCAATTGAGTGCTTTCAATAGCCTCCTTGACGAGTTTTAGTTTGGTACTGAGAATGGCATGACTCATTGATGATGCTGGCGAAACTTTGAGAATGTACCATGTCCGCGGTGAAACGATGGAAATTAGGATAATTAACAACATAGGAATTTGTATAAGTTGCGTCCAACAAGGTCGCCTTGGCAACCCAACCAAGTTGCAAAAAGGGTAGTCAGACCACTAAGATACGGAGCTTAGAGACTGCGACCAAAAGAGAGGTGACAAACTCTGATCTTTCAATCAATGAAAAATATGGGTTGGGATTCTATATGAAATATATACATCTTATTCCGTTTAGGGTGATAAGGGGACTGGTAGTTAAATTTCCCCACAATTCATTACGTAGACACGACGTTTCCATTGCATTTCACATAACCTCTTCTTCCCAAAAGTTCTTATCATTCAAGCAAGAATGGACTGCTGTTTTGACCTCGCATCCCCAGTGGAAGTGGCACCCGGTTCGTGGAAATGATGTGTATGATTTCCACATGTTGGCTACCACGCCAAACTGTCATGAGTGCCCCTAGATCGCAGGGAAAATGGGATTTTCAGGGTAATATTATCGATAAATCAAAGTTGTATTTGCTGTATCCATCGAGTACACTATTTAGTTTTCGTTTAAAAATATGATTTAGAGACTACTCGTTCATCATATATAACTACTGATAAACACAAATTAAGTAGTATAGCCAATTGATATAGTAAATACAATTTGGCTTCATCAGCATTCTCACTACAGAATGTGGCCAGAGCCTTCTGGAAATTCGCATCTGTCCTGCAACCCAAGGGCACTCGTGACAGTGTGTTGCTCTACCACCGCCTACAGGTTCGAGTCCCGCTGGATGTGCCGATGAGAACAGTTGGGACGAGGTCGAAACTTCAGTCCATTTCAGTCGGGATGAGAATACCTTTTGTGAAAGCGAATCTGCCTGAAATGCACTGGAAAAGTTGGGTATACTCAACTGATTGTGGGAAAATGCAACTAACAGTCAGTCCGCATGTGCCCTTAAACGAAATAGGGTTGAATATATGCCACAAACTTTTCATGCAATAACTCATGACCAACTCGACAAGTTAGCAATTTTATAGATTGTATAAAGAATCATCAGTAATCTTGCTGTAAAAGACGTGAAAACTTGTACATCGAGGTTAGCGAAAACACAAATCCATGCACCTCTCTCTCTCTTAATTAGCCGCCAACAAGCCGAAAAGCGCGATCTGTGATGAGATTCTCTTGCACCGTCAGCAGCACCATCTTCTTTTTCCCAAAACACGTTGAGCTGACACTGTTGCCGGCCAATGCGAAGGTGGCTCCGCCTCGTTCGAGACAAAACCGATCCAACTTGGCCAAAGAGAGCATATTAGTTCATGGAAAAAGTCGGCTGTGAGTTGATGAAAGACGTCTCGATGGTGCAGTAGACCTGGCAACAAGAAGATGCTACTTTTCTCGACCAGGCACCCGATGGAAGAAGAGACTCGGACAGTTGGGGACAGCTACAATCATCATTCCCAGGCATCGCATCTTCCGTACTCGCACCGACCCCCTCAGTGACCCCGTCTCATTAGCTTAGTCGCAATTGCCGCGCGTCTGTCTGCTTCGCCATCTTACTCTCTTCCTCTCTCTTTGGCGCTCTTCTTCGTCTCCAAGCCTCACATCGGATCTGACAAAAAGGGATTTCGCCTCTCTCTCTCTCTCGCTATCCTTTCAATTTCTCATTAGTCCTTTATCCACTAACCATAAAGCGTTTTAAACAGCATCTCCTTGCCTTTAATGGGTGGTTAGGAATTCTCGGGAAAAGTGGACCAGAAGACACCTCATTTCTAATTACGTCGCTATGACAACTAGTGGCAGTCGGGCCAGGGGCTCGGAAGCTGGGGTTGGAGACCCGGTTCTGGAAGTAGTCCCCTTTGTCCGGTCCACTGGCCTCTTGATCTTTCCTATCCCTTCGTCACTCCACACCCCTTTGCTGCCGAAATCAGAAGCAGCCGGCCTCTTTGAGAATGTGACCCTCAACCGGGATCCTCCCGCCTCCCTCTCCTCCCCCTCCTCCCCCTCCTCCTCCTCCCTCTTCATCTCCTCCTTCTCCTCCTCTTCCTTTTCCGTAATTGACGCTAAATACTGTTTACAGAGCCGTCCGATGCCGACCGGAGACGCGGTAACCACAGGCCAGTCTGGAGGTGGAGCAGTT